CACCTCGCTAACCAAGGGAGAGAAGGTTCTCATTCCATGATTTTCAGTCCCCCCGGGGGTCGATTTTGAGAATTTCCCTTTTTTTTTTCAAACACGTTCAAGAATTTATTTCTATTTTCTTTCCTCAAAAACAACTAGATAAAAATGGGGGGGGGGTTTTTTGAATTTTGAGTAAAATAAAGGGGGAGAGAGAGAGAGAGAGAGAGAGAGAGAGAGAGAGAGAGAGAGAGAGAGAGAGAGAGAGAGAGAGAGAGGGAGAGGGAGAGGGAGAGAGAGAGAGAGAGAGAGAGAGAGAGAGAGAGAGAGAAGGAGACAGACAGACAGTCAGTCAGACAGACAGACAGGCCGGCAGACAGGCCGGCAGGCAGACAGGCAGGCAGGCAGGCAGGCAGGCAGCCCGATAGGCAGACGGACAGACGACAGAGTGAGGAAAAAGAGAGGGGGGGAGAAAGTTACATGGAGCTGATGATGGAAAGAGAGATGTAAAGGAGGAAAAGAGAGGAAAATAGATAGATAGATAGATAGATAGATAGATAGATAGATAGATAGATAGATAGATAGATAGATAGATAGATAGATAGATAGATAGATAGATAGATAGATAGATGGATAGATAGATGGATAGATAGATAGATAGATAGATAGATAGATAGATAGATAGATAGATAGATAGATAGGTAGATAGGTCTCAGCGTTCTTTTTCTTTTGGTGTTGTTTTTTTAAATAGATACTAGAAGTTTAAAACAATCTTGAAAGTGCAAACCTTTATTTCTCCAGCAACCGCTTTTGGTAGATTTTGAGTAATTTTAAACAGACAAAATAGAGAATAAGATTCGTGTTCCGAGCAGCGGAGGGGAGCTAAAGACCAGATACCTTTTGATAACTGATTACGGTTTATGTTCTTAAGAGAATTTGCGTTTTTCCTACATGAAATGAGATCTTGGCATTGATTGGAATTTCAAAAAGCGACAGCCTGGCTTGTTTCAAATTCATCATCTTTCGCGTCTTGACAGACGATCTCCAAGTGGTAAGCATGATACAGCTTTACCTGGGCTGTAGACATTGAGGATGTAGACTGCCCAAGCACTACCCCCTTCCCTTCAGATTTGTGACTTTCTTGATATACTTCACAAGAGCGACATAATCAATACGTTCGGAATCAAGGAATGTGTAAAGGTGTGGCTTACTATTTTACTGGTGTTTATAAGGGGTATTTATTCTTCTGAGAGGGAATTTGTTTTCATTTTTAAAAACTTTGCCTGGATGGCGGCCTAACAGCCTACTGTTCGTATGATTTTCAACCACCAAGAGATTTTTAACGTACGCAACGTGAACTTGGTAACTTCAGGTTTTTGCCCTTATCTGAGAAGACCGGGTGCTCCATTTTAGCTAGCGTTAGATCAGGGGTAACATCAAATACGATAAAGCAAAAAGAATAGAAAAACATAGAAAGACAGACAGATACATATGCGCGCGAACACACACACACACACACACACACACACACACACACACACGCACACACACACACACACACACACAAAGAATGACGGATGGACTGATGGGCAGACAGACACATAAATAGATAGATAAGAGTGAGCGAGTGCAGTGGCTGGAGAGAAAGATTAAAACAAAGCTGGAAGGCAGAAACATTACCAAAACATGAGCGAAAGAAAGAAAGGTGGAAAGAAATCGGAAATGGTTGAGAAAGGTTCAGGGGAAATCCGGAGTAATTATGGATACAGTCGACTTTATGAACCTACACCCCGCTGACCCGTGAGAACCATAACCGCTGACCGCTTGACCAAGGTACCGATACTGTATGGAGGGCAGTGAAACCCGTCGGTCATACTTTACGGTCACCGCCTGTAAGCCGCAGTTAAACAAAAACCCGTTGCATTGACGTCATTAGACTTAATCTCCCACACCCCTGGACCACTGTGGTCCTTAAACGTGTATATGTATGTATA